AAAAAAAAAAAAAAAAAAAAAAAGACAGAGAGAGAGAGTGAAAAAAATGACTAACACATTTAAAAAAGCAATAATACATCAAAGCATACAGGAATGGTATTGTCTACTAGCTTAGGAATAATCATGTGGGAGTGGAAGAAAAAAAATTTCCTTTAACTAAAGATATCAAAGTGAAAAATACTGAGATACTGACTCTTGAGGAAAACAGATTCCACACAGAACTACATCTAGGAAACTAAAAAATGAATGAGAAGATTCTACCTGAATCTGAAACTTTGAGCTTTAAATATAATTATCCATTCAAAACTATTTCATCATCCAGCAGATTTAGAACTAAGTTTTAACGAGACATAAACTTTGCTGAACACATATAAAATGAGTTAATTTATATTCCTTCAAAGCCCACTAAATCAATTTGTTTTTGTTTTTGTTTTTTTGAGACGGAGTTTCACTCTTGTTACCCAGGCTGGAGTGCAATGGTGCGATCTCGGCTCACCGCAACCTCCGCCTCCGGAGTTCAAGCAGTTCTCCTACCTCAGCCTCCTGAGCAGCTAGGACTACAGACATGCACCACCACGCCCAGCTAATTTTTGTATTTTTAGTAGAGACGGGGTTTCACCATGTTGACCAGGATGTTCTCGATCTCTTGACCTCGTGATCCACCCGCCTCGGCCTCCCAAAGTGCTGGGATTATAGGCGTGAGCCACCGCGCCCGGCCCCCACTAAATCAATTTAACTTTGGGGAGTTATGGGCTTTTGATAATCTATTGACAAAAGCCCTTTTCTCCAGAAAAATACCTACTTATAGGAATGTTTGCATATAATTTCATGGGATTCATGGATTTCATGAAACACACTATAAATGCTCTCCCTGGCTGGCCACTATTGCTTATGCCTGTACTTCCAACACATTGGGAGGCCAAGGCAGGAGGACTGCTTGAGCCAAGGAATTTGAGACCAGCCTGGGCAAGACAACAAGGCAAGATTCCATCTCAGTTTAAAAAAACAAACAAAAAAAGCCCTCCCAGGTTGAAATAATTTGAGATGGTTTGATATAAAGAATGCATTTAAAGAGAGAAGAGCATGAACAAAGAGGTGTAAACAATAGAGAGCAAATTAGGTTTAGAAATATAGAAATATTAAGTATTTCAGTCTTCCAAAGGATTGGGTATAGATAGAAAACGTTAATGGACATCCCAGGCCAACAGACAACATGGACTCCTGCAGCTGAGAGGTGCCATGTTCAAAACAGAACAAGACGGCCATAGCTGGGTGAGGGATTGGTCATGTATTCTTTGTTCTCAAAACCATGTATAAGGCCGGGCGCGGTGGCTCAAGCCTGTAATCCCAGCACTTTGGGGGCCGAGGCGGGTGGATCACGAGGTCAAGAGATCGAGACCATCCTGGTCAACATGGTGAAACCCCGTCTCTGCCAAAAATAGAAAAAATCAGCTGGGCCTGGTGGCGCGTGCCTGTAATC